AAAATACAACAATCAAATAATGGTGCAGACTCTTCTGGAGTGAAGAAGTAAAGAATGATGACCAGCTGTTGTATTTGTTGAAGACGAACAAACACAGAATGGATAGTGGAAAAAGGTAATTATTAATGTCAGCTATGACCATGTGACCATTTATAAAAATGGTGACTAATTGTCATGGGCATTTCCTTCTTATTTTGTTATGACTATGTCTGTCTATATATCTGAAATCTTTGCTTTCTCCCCTGCTTCCTTTATCATGCAACATAAAATGTATTGACTTTACATCACAGTGTGAGTACTGTTAATTTTATATCATAGCACATAAATATTAAGTTCTAAGATATCAAGTAGAAAAATAAACATCATTCAAAGACTTTAACTCCCCTTCAGGGAGGTGTTGTGGGATGTATACAGGATAGTTGTATCACATTAGGGAGAGTTTCTTTAGCAGCGTTTAAAGTTTCACCTAGGGCCTAATGCATGTTAGGCAAAGACTTTTTTGAGCTATGCCCTCATCAGAATTTTCTGAATTTCAGGAGAAGTCATAAATCTGGGTTTTTATGTGGAAATATTGTAATTGTTAAAAACCTATAACAAATGAATTTTAAAAGACAAATTAGATAAAGAAAAGTGGTATGTATACACAATATTCATTCATAAAAAATATTAAATTGTCATTTTCAACAACCTGAATGGTACAGAGATCATTACATTAGTCAAAAAGCTATGCATAGAAAGACAATGCCACGTGCTTACATGTGGAAGCTAAAAAAGTTGATTTCATAGAAGTAGAAAGTAGAATAGTGGTCAGGAATTGTACTGACAAAAGAGATAGAGGGAAGTTGGATACAATTAAATTACACAAGATGAATAATTTATAGTTTCTATAACACAGTAGGGTGACCATACTTTAAAAAATGTATTATATATTTTATAAAGAACCAGAAGATTATAATTTGAAACGTCATAATATACACACACAGACACACACACACACACACACACACACACACACACAAAGATAGATGTTTAAGGAATCAGAAATGCTAATTATACTTATTTGATATTACATATTGCATACATGTATGGAATATATGGAATATAATACTGTATTTTATAAAGATGTGCTGTTATTTTATATCATTAAAAAGACAAACAAAGAAAATATATTTCTGAGCCCAATTCATCCTATATACATCAGGCTGTATCTTTGTTTTATCATATTATTTTGTTCCTACTATCTGAAATTACATAAATTCCTGTCTGTCTTTTTTCATCAGAATTTAACCTCCATAAGAGACCTTGCCTATCTGTTCAACTCTGTATTCCTAATATGGAATGGTGCCTCACACATTAGCCACTTTGAAAAATTAGTATTATGGAAGTTTTCAAACACACATTTAAGTAGAAGTCTCAGTATAATGAATCTTCTTGTACCATTACCTAGAGTCAATAATTATTAACACTGTGGCATTTTTGTATAATGCTTCTTCCATGGGTTTTTTACTTGAGCATTTACATGAAAATGTTTTAAAATTATAACTGTTTACTACTATTCTAAAATTAATATATCACTAACATTATGTAATATCCATACAAATTAAAAATTTCCCAATTGTCAGATAGCATCTTAATAAATACTTAATACATGAAAAACAAATGAACATAAAATATCTGACAATAAACCTTCCAAGGCTTGAAACATAATCTTCTCACCAGAAATTCAAGGATGATTTTCTAGAAGAGCCTTGGTTTTCAAATTTTAAAAGATGGAAAATTAGTTCAGTAAATATTGCTCTACATGAAGATAACCTAAGAGTAAAATTCTATAATGGATATTTACCCAATAAAAATAAAAATATAATTTTGCACATATCCTTATACTAGGTTGTTCATAGTAGATTGACTCATACCAGCGCTAAGTGCTGGAACCTACTCATATATGTATCAGCCAGTGAATAGATAAATAAACCGCGGTACATTTATACAATAAAATAATACTCAGCAATAAAAGGAACGAAAGCTCCCCCTTCTTCAAATCCAGTGCTCTGGGCCTCCATCCCAGCAGACCAGTGAGAACTGCCTATTGCTGAACTGTGTGGGGAGCTCATAGTTCCTCTTTCTCCACCTCCAGTGCTCTGGGCTTCAATCTCAGCAGACTGGTAAGAACTGCCCACCGCCCAGCCCCGGGCATGCATCTGCAACATCCACCCCAAACCCCCAACTTTTGGGCCTCCTGGTACCTGGAGCCACACTGCAGAGACACAGGTGGTAATAAAATCCATATTACTCAGCTCCAGAAGATACAACAGAAGTGAACAACTGCAATAAAGGTACATAAGACCTCCATAGTTGGTAAGCTGGGGGATCACCACCTTCCAGCAGAACTTGGATTATCATAGGGGAAGAGCAGCTGGAACCTGCAGTAGAACCTTGCAGAGTTCAACCCTGCAGGAGGTCAGGAAGTCCAACTTGGGCCTTGCAACCAGAATTCAGCATGAATCTTGGGGGTCTGCCATGGGCCAGCCGAGACTAATTGCCTTAGTTCTGCACATTGCTGCCCACATTGTCTACTGTGACAGCAGAGATATACCCTGAAAGAGGCTCTTCAAATTTTTTTCTTTTCCTCTTATTTTTAATTTTTATTTTTTCTTATCTTGCAAAGTCTTCCTTTTTTTCTTTCTTCTCTTTCCTGCTCAGTCTCTGGCTCCCCCAAGTTAATCTACATCTACCTTTTTGTTCCCCTTCTTGCCCTAGTTCGGGTTTCTTCTCTCTCTTTTCTTCTCTCTTTATTCTTCACTTAATGGTCATTAAAGTGAGTA